GTTTTACAAGAACACATCAATGGAGGTTTATGTTCATCCCATCCTTGTGTTATTCTCAAGTACCATACTCTTTCTCCTCTCAAGGTCTGCTGCAGTAGACACAATATCAAGAAATCAAGCAATCAAAGATGGTGACACCATTGTTTCAGATGGTGACATGTTTGAACTGGGMTTTTTTAGCCCTGGAAAGTCCAGGAATCGGTACCTGGGGATATGGTACAAGAAGATATCAAAGGGTACCGTTGTATGGGTTGCCAACAGAGAGAAACCAATCAACGATACATCTGGCATTTTTGAAGTCAGTAGAGAAGGAGTCCTACAGATTCTCAGTGCCGGTAATACTTTGATCTGGTCATCCAATTCAACGGTATCTGTCAGGAGYCGTAACCTGGAGGCACAACTTCTGGACACCGGGAATCTTGTTCTGTGGGATGAAAGTAGCACCAAAGAAAATCCCATCTGGCAAAGTTTTGATTATCCTGGTGACACACTGCTGCCAGGAATGAAAATTGGAAAGGATTTGGTATCAGGAAGAGAGAAGTATTTAACATCTTGGAAGAGTCCTGATGATCCTTCTATAGGTCTATACAAAAACTGGATAGACACAAATGGATATCCACAAATATTTCAGAGGGAAGGTCGAGTTATACACTCCAGGCTTGGACATTGGAACGGTGTTGGGTTTCATGGCTTTCCTGTTGAAAACCCAAATCCAATTTATTCAGTAGAGTTTGTTATTAACGAGAAAGAAATATATTATAGATATAAACAGAAGAGTTCAGTTGTTCCAAGGATACATGTGTCATCAGAAGGCATCGCACTACAATTAAACTGGATCGAGCGAACCCAAGAATGGGCCGTGTATGGAAATATAGTAGTTGATAGTTGTGGTCGTTATGCACGCTGTGGTCCTTATGGAACGTGTAGCATCAACATGTATCCCCCCTGTAGTTGTCTGGAAGGTTTTGAACCACGACTACCAGAGGAATGGAATGCAGCAGATTGGTCAGGTGGGTGTCAAC